CCTTCCTTCCTTCCTTCCTTTCCTTCCTTCCTTTTTCTTTCTTTCTCATTGAACATGATAGCAAATCCAAAATAAAGTTATTAATTGTAGGAAATTGCTTCTTTGTAATCTTTTTATAGTGAACTCTTAAGTTGATAGAAGCTGGCAAGATTGTACTAACAGCAATAGGATATATATATTTTGATTTCTTTTGAGTTTGACAATATAATGTTACCCAAAATTATAAATAATCTTATTTTCAGATGCATTTTTTTGCCATCTGTTATTTTCTTTAAAAAATATCAGATTTACTTCCAATTTGTGCCTTCTGGCAAACTGCAGTTTTCTTGGCAAGAGATCTAGCTTGCCATTGCTTTCGTCATAGGTCTGAAAAAGTTTGTTTGTTTGTTTCTTTTCTCTTCCTTTCTTTCCCCGATTTGTTTCCCTCTCTCTCATTCTCTCCCTTCAGCTCTCTTTCATTTCTTTCTCCCTCTCCCTTCTCCTTCTAATTTGTTTCTCTCTATTTTCCCTCTCTTCCATTCTCTCCTTCCAGCTCTCTTTCATTTCTCTCTCCTCCCCCCTTCTCTTTCATCTCTTTCTTGCGCATGAAAGCAAAATACCCTCCTGGGCCAGGATCACGGTGGCGGGGACAGCGCCTCCTTCCACTGCCACCACTGAGAAGTAAGTAGCTGGAGACTCCTGAGCGCCAGACTCAGGTCAGCGCCAGTCGTGGTCCCCTTTGTGTTGGCTCAGGAAAGAGCTGGAGCAGCTATCTCTGGATGCAGAGAGGGAAGAGTTCCCGAGCCCTGCGCAAGCTGTGCAACGCAGGAGAACTGGAGCTCTTCCCTCCCTGCACCCATCCAGCTGCTGCTGCTCCCATTCCCCTCCTTCCTGAGCCAACACGAAGGAGACAGCGGCTTGCGCTGACCTGAGTCTGGCGCCGAGGAGTCTCCCGAGCAGTGTGGCTCCCTTGCGCTGTGTACCCAGTTACTCACCTCATTGCGCAGTGGCGACAGCGGAAGAATAGTTGTCCCCTCCACTTTGATCCTAACCCAGGAGAGTATTTTGCTTGCACACGCAAAAAATGAGTAGCTAATGGTCTCCCTCTCAGATCCCGGCGGAACTAAGCAGAGCCGGCTCAGCGGAGACAGGCCTGTGCTGGAGGGGGGGAAGTGATGTCAGGTGAAGACTCTGCAGCCGCCGCAATCTCTTCTCAGCCGTTGACCTTCTCGCTGCTCAAGCCTCCCCCTTTGATGCAGCTCAACCCCAGCGAAGGCGTGCGCCCTGTAGGAGCTCCCGGACAGGAACAGTTGCTGAAAAACGCCGGGAGGCCGGCTGGACTGGCCTGCTGGGAAGCCCGTCAGTCTTCTGGCACCTCTCCTTCTGCCGTGCAAGGAACCTG